GTTTTAATTTTATTAAACTATAAAAGTAAAAATTTAAAATTAATATTAATTTAATAAAAAGTATAAAATATATGAAAACCGAATAAAATTTTATAGACATGTTACAAACAACTTTAGTGACCTTGAATAAAAAAGTAAGTACTAAACGAGTCGAAAATAGATAGGTGGTTGGCATGAAATCACATTAACCTTAAATAAAAATTCAAGTAGACGTCATAACAGCACCACGTGGACATAAGGATGCCACCTGTTATAGAAAACCATTTACGTAATTAAAGTTATCTTCATTGGCATAATGGGAAACCAAACAATTTATTGAATACAGTTAAAAAATAAGTGACTTCAACAACCAAATTAATCAAATTAATTATTATAAAATGTTATTTTATTAACCCTAAAAAATATTAGTTTTAACATGACCTTAGTGTTATCATTGACCATGAAGATTAACCTTAGAGCATCTCTTGTTGGACCTCATTTTGAGGTCCATAGCGATTTATATATATATATATATATATATATATATATATATATATATATATATATATATATAGAATCATTTGAGAACCTTTAGTTTTATCGAGAACTAAAGGTGAGACGTTATATCAAAATTTTTAATGGCTTATATCAAATATGACATACTTGTAATTAGCAACAGTTTTAATGGTATCTTAGACTTTTAAAAAATGGCCAGAGGGGTATATTAGGGATAAACTATATTATTTCCAAATAATTAATTGAGTAAATTACATGAATCGTCATTCATGCAGGTACCAAAATGCACGTTTAGTCTCTATTTTCAAAAATTAACTCGAATCGTCATTCATTTTGTTAAAAGTTGCACGGTGCATCCCTCGTTAAAATTAATATACATAAAGGATGTCAATGCAAGTTTGGTAATATACAAATCAAAGTAAAATGATATAATTCATACCTTACGACCTATAATATATAAAAAAATAGTTGATCTGTTTTAATTTTATTAAAAATATAAAAGTAAAAATTTAAAATTAATATTAATTTAATAAAAAGTATAAAATATACGAAAACCGAATTTTAAGCTTAAAAATAATATATATATATATATATCTATATATATATATATATATATATATATATATATATATATATATATATATATCATATCAACATTACATGTCATTAGCGTGGAGCACATATGTCGTGCAAGATGTCCATTTTAGCTTGTTGACGTATAAAACCAAATAAAATTTTATAGACATGTTACAAACAACTGTAGTGACCTATAACAAAAAAATAAGTATTAAACGAGTCAAAAGAAGATAGGTGGTTGGTATGAAATCACATTAACCTTAAATAAAAATTCACATACACGTCAGTACATCACCACGTGGACATAAGAATGTCACATGTTATGGAAAACCATTTACGTAACTGAAGTTATCTTCACTGGCATAATGGGAAACCAAACAATTTATTGAATACAGTTAAAACATAAGTGACTTCAACAACCAAATTAATCAAATTAATTATTATTAGATGTTATTTTTTGATATTAACCCTGAAAAATATTAGTTGTAATAGGCCTTAGTGTTATTATTGACCATGAAGATTAACCTTAGAGCATCTCTTGTTGGACCTCACATAGCGATGTCATGTCATGCTCAAGAGGAGGGACCAGTTTTTGTAGCTCTCCCTCCGACGTCACTTCCCTCTTGAGTCACCTCAATATTCGTCTTTGTTTCCTACCCACTTCTTGAAGAGCACCACCTTCTTTTCCTCCCTCTTCTTCCTTGCTTACTTTGAGTAGATCATAAACTTCTTTCGGTCAATCACAATCTCCTCTTCCCTGAAGACATACCGTCCACCCTTAGCAACATAGAAACTCTTACAAATCATGAATCTCTTTTTACTATCCATAAACATTTTCTAGATTTATAAATGGGTATCATTATTTGTTTTATTTATTCAACTTTTGTTTCTCTATTTTAAATAATATAACAAAAACAGCTAGTTATATTTTATTTGTAAAACATATTATCCATCTTAATAAAACGAAATCAATATAGATTTTGTATAAAACTATATATATATATATATATATATATATATATATATATATATATATTAAAACTTGTTAAAGTATATTCCATATTTGTTTTATTTTTAAGTGTATGGATGAAATCAATTTAATGGTGTCATTTATTTTATCTTCTGATATATATATTTTTGTAATCTAGCGATATCAAGTATTGGTGCAGGGTGTCTCTCAGCGACAAGCTGTGGGTTCATGTCTTGTTGTGGACGAAATGTGTCGTTTATTATATGATAGAATGCGTGTGTTTGTCGTTCTAAATAAATAAATAAATAAGAAAAAATAGCTTAAGTTAATATATATTAATATAGTTAGGGTAGAAAATAAAAATATGAAAGATATGCTTAAAATGAAAATTTAAATTGAATTTGCAGCGCTGTCCCTTGATTTTTTATGGATTCCACCAAAAGATTGAGGTGGTGTTTACACGTGGAGAAAATTAACGAAGGGGGAAAGAGAGAGTCTTCTTTTTTCTCCCTTGTAGCCGGCCGTAAACCAGCTCACACGACACCACGACTACGGAAGCCGGATCCGTGTTCACGTGTAAGGTTGGGTTGCCACATCCCGTAGCCACTGTCCACCACACCCGATGGCCTTATACCATAGACCTCTTTTCTAAGAAATATGATTAATTATCATTGCACTTTATGGACAATTAGAACTAATATACGATAAGAACCGGTTTGAAGACTTCCACTATGATCTGACATTGTGGTTAGAAGACCCCTGGTTTCTTAAATGCTTAATAAGTGTTCGGAAGATCAGTTCTTTGATTCGTTATAAATAACACTCCATTCTTGCACAACTTTAATATTTATACTTGTAGTTTAAAATAAAATTTTAAAAAAAAAAAGTACAAACAAAATATAGAACATTTCACACAAACCCTTTGAATTTGCTTACTCAATGTATCAAAGGTATCTTGTGTAGATATACTTTCTCAGTAAGATTCCCTTCGTTACCAATTCTCACAAATCCCTCAAAACCCAAATGATGAACCTTCGTTTTCCAACTTAAAATACTATGAAATCTAACCATAGTCTCCACCGTCACCCTCAACACCGCACCACCGCCGGCGTTTCCTGCCCGGAATTCTCGGTCAGCATCAATCAAAACCTCCTCCGTCACAGTCTTCCTTTGGCCTTGACAAAAAGAACCCAACGACTTACTCCCACAAAGAACACCACCATTGTATAACTTCACATCAATCAAAATATAACAAATTGTAATGCCACTGTTGGGATTCGTGATCTGGAGGTCAAGATCGACTGAATTGTTTCGAAGGGTTTCGTTTTGTTGAACTTTTGTGAGGCTCCGGTTGCCGGATTTTGGAATTTGGATGGCGGTGATGGTGAATTTAGGGTTTCGTGGTTTTGTGATTAACCAGATCACGACTGCCACCATGCTTAAAACTATCAGAACTTGAAGGAACCAACAGTAGATAGCGAAAGGGGATTCTGATGCTTTTCTCCTGACCATGGTTTCAAGGCTATTGAACTGAGTTTAAAGATGTTATAGGATTCGAAGAGGCTATACTTTATAGAAACATAAATGCTTTGTGGCTTTTCGTGTGCATATGAAACTGCGTTGTTATGATTTACATAAGATACTATGTGCATTCAATATGGGACTTTCATTTATTTGTTTACAGTTTGAGAAAACTTATCATGGTTATGAGAATTTTTTATGATAGACATTTTTCTATGTTCAAACATATATTTTTGGCTGAATGAGCTAGAAAGACTGTTTTATTTGCATAAAAAATAAATATATCCCGTAAGATATGTTTTTATCATAAAGCTGTAAAACTATATCTTTCTGGCTGAATGGGTCGGAAAGACAATTGTGCCCCAAACTTTGCCTCTTTCTTTTTTCTCTTCGACGCTCTTCATCAAACATCATCGCCTCCACACCAAGCTCTCTACTTCGTTGCAAACCAGCCTCCCCCTGCCGGAGCATCGTTGCTGCCACTAGCTCCGCTCTCTACTACAAGAAATTCTGATTTTAACTATAAGAAATTCTGATTTGAACATACATTTTTTCTTATCGGCGCTCTTCATCAAACATCAAACATCATCGCCTCCACACCAAGCTCTCTACTATAAGAAATTCTGAATTTAATATACATTTTGTGTAATTTTGATTTTGTATGACAACTTATATTTGAATTTTTAAATGATTATTATGTAATTTTGATTTTGTATAACAATTTGTATGTTTTTATAATTATTCAACAACTTCATCCATCACAGTATAGAACATGGTAATATGGTCATTTTTTCATCATTCAACACAGTCAGTCAGATATACAATCAAACATAGTGATTTATTTCCCAGTCAGTAAACTTTCTCATATAACAACTATACGGACCCTAAGTTGACTAGTCCAAATTTAGATTAGAGATTGAGTTTGACTGAATAAGATATAAATCAATTTGCAACCATCAAACAACTTAACAATGTTAGAAAATGGTGGTTAAACTTTCTAAAATGATAAATCTACTTTCTTTTTTTTTTCTTATTTTGTCTTTTTGTCTCATTCATTTTTTATGTTAATTAAAGAAATTAAAAGTAAAACTAATATCTATTAAAACTTAAAAATGACATACAATGTATAATAGAGAAAAAAATGAAAGCGAGATGATATAATAAATAAATAATTTACTTTGATTCGTGATTTCAAATTTATGTTCTTAAGAAATAGTCTTTTTTGTTGAAATGAATCTTCTTTTTAGCTTTATGGGGCACTTTCTTGTTGTCTCTTTGATGGAAAGTTAACCTTTGGACATTGGAAGACTCTTCTCTGTATTTGCTTAGTTGTAAACTTGTCTTTTTGACATCTTGCTTCGTTTAGAAGTTGCAAATCCATCACATAAAGTACAATCATTCATGCACAAAGTACATACACACAGAGAAACTAACATCATTAAGTAAAATAAACTGGACATTTCTTTTTCTCATCGCTTCGTAATATCACCCCATTTGACCCAACCCCGATTTCACAATTGGCATGCATTTTATGATGTCTGCTGTCCCACGTGGATACCTTAAACCGAATCGATGATGCCACGTCAATCCTAAACGGAACTACCCCGCGTTTTCGGGCATCAAAAAGTTGCCCCCAACGGACCCGGTCAATCCTCAATGTGGGTCCCGACAATGTGCCATAGATTAAGTGTGCATTCCTGGGTGATTGATAGAATGGAAACAGTATTGGTGATTCCGCGATTGTTTGATCTTGATGATAGATTGTTAGATTCATTGTGTCGTAGTAGATGCCTATATCAAGATTCGGGTTTCGGGCAGTCACGTTGAATGTTATCCGGGCAGTTGAAAATCCGTTAGGGTTAGCTAAATTAGAGATGGAGAATTCTTGTATATAGAACCGGGGACGATGTGGGCGCAAACTTAGCCATAAAATGAACGTTGCTAGGCCAACCGTGAACAAAATACCAAGAAAAATCCCGCATATTAGCTTTGTTACACGAGTGGTTAGACTTTCTTTCACATGGTGTTTGTTGTAAAAGGCATTATGATTCCCTGTTACCTGATGACCGTCGTCTATACGGCCATCAGGATTATGGCGGACATTCATTAGATGTCCGCCAGTATTATGGCGGCCATCTACACGGCTGTCAGGATTATGGCGGCCATCTCGTAGACGGTCATCCGGTAGACGATCACTGGGATTGTGGCGGGCATCTGGGGTGTGATGGATGTTGATTTGGTGGTGTGGGGTGTTCATGGTGGTGGTGGGAAGTGGGAAGAGATTGGGGGGTAGTTTTAAAAATTGGTGAAAAGTTGGTAATGTGGTGGTGGGGTTTTTATTTTGAGGGTGGCCGAAGATGAAAGGGATGGTTAGTGGAGGCGTTGTGGTGGTAGAAAGTAAAGAATATTGAAGGTATTGTTACTTGTTATCTTTAGGTGACCTTTTAGGTTGCTTTTGAAGGAAGTACATCATGCTAGACTAGTTGTACATTAGAAGGTATAGGTATTTCTTGTGGTACATGACAAGTATTGTATAAGGTAATGTGTACCTATTAGCTAGTTGAATGTAACAATTACAAGGTGTTTTGATGTTTGTTTTCTGAATTAATATTATATGATTGCTCTCATTTGAAGAAACAAATGATTAGTTTTTAGTGTTTTAATTAAGTGATTTTGATTTTACATGTTTGGTTATTTTGAGGCCAAATAATCAATTTGGACCATCTATAACAAAATTAATTATTTTGATTAACAATAATTACTATATTATTTTTGTTTAATCTTAAATGAAAGATATCTTTTGACTCTAGCAAAAAAAACATCGTTAAATATCCTGCCATTTCGCCTTTTAGATATTGTTTCGTCTTCTTGGATTTGTGAACAATGCATATCATACCAATATGCACAAACATTGTTTATATATGATAATAATAATAATAAAACTATTCGTTAATTTAGTATTTTGTAGACCATAAACAATACCCATAGAGAGAACTAAAAATGACAATTTGCAAGAGAAGTGAAATGCTTCTAAAGTTCTATGTTGGATAAATGAAAGCGATTGATTTAACATAAGTTAATCTCTTTATTAATCAAAAAGAGGAAAGTGGATGGGTTTGTTTTTGGAGAGCGCATAGAAGCATTGTTCAATCTTGATATCTCAAATCATTACAAAACATTACATTGAATTCCGGTTTGTAAGTTAAAATCGTTCTTTGTACAACAACTAACAAAAAAAAAAAAAAACAACAACAAAAAACATTTGGTCTGATAATATCAGATGTTAGAAATGTTCTTTCAGCCGATAAGTCAAGGATTTAAGTCTAGTTTTGAGACAAAGATATATATTTATGTATATGTTTATAGATGGTGTGTCACTGTGTCCTTAACTGCTAAAAAAAGAAAAAAAAATTACTATTTTGTTTAACCTTGTCATAATGTGCTTGTCTTAATTCGATAACTTAGCATTCTATGGTCTCGTTTATACCAAACATTACATAATCAAAGTTCAAAGTTACGATATAAAATCATACTAACGAGCTTGAATTAATTATATAAATAAATAAAATAATATAGTTGTTTACACAATACAAATTGTTAGTAATAGACTTTTATCACTATTATTTACATATATACGTATACTCTATTTCTCTATGCTTGTGTAACCGAGGCCAACTCTCACAATACCATACGAAAAAGGACAACATCATCTTCAATGGAAAAACAATTTTTACCTTTACACTTCTAGTAACGTTTAGAGATCCGTGGCATCGAGCACCTGTTTTTTCGATCTTGGTAAAGTCTCAATACAGTAACTGCAGTTTCTTCAATGGCTTTCCCTGTCACTTCTGTAATCACCATTAACAAAATTATTTTAAAGCTTTGAACTTTTTCCCAATTATTTAATAAAAAAAGATAAGATATATTGTAAATTTGTAATATTACTCACCAATTACTGGCCAAGTCGGATTCTGTGCAAAAATCTTGCATGCAAAATCAAGCTCCTGCCTCACATGATCCATCTCTGAATAATTTGTTCTCATTTCTTCCGCGAACCCTAAAGTCTTCGATCTTGCTCTTCTTATAGTTTGCAAAACAACAGGATTTATAGTCAACGCAAACACTTTCTCCTGGTCAACCTCAAACAATGCTTTTGGCAACGAAACTCCCATCACAATAGGCACATTCGCCACTTTGAATCCTTTTTGTGCTAAATAGATCGACAATGGAGTCTTCCCTGTTCGTGAAACACCAGCAAGAACAATGTCTGATTTGTGTAAGTTCTGGGGTAAAGCTCCGTCATCTTGTTTGATAGTGAATTCAATTGCGTCTATTCTCTTGAAGTAATCTTCGGTCAGGGGGAATTTCCTGCCCGGAGCACCACGGGGCAGCCCGGAAGGGGAGACGCCTAAATGCAATGCGATTGCTTCTGTGATTGGGCTGAGGATGTCGGTGGATGGAACGCCCCATCTTTTGCAGGCGTGTCGAGCTGAAGCAGCCATGTTTTCATCGGCGAGTGTGTAAATCAGCATTGCTCCTTCTCTTGCTGCTTGCTTTATTATTTCCATTAGCTGTTCTACGTCTTCAATCTGATTCGAAATTGTGAAACATCAAATCTGAATTCGTGATAAGAGCTTTTGGGTTTTTTTTGAAAACGAAATGTGATTATGAATGAATGAAGTATGAACTAGAATCAATGGAAGTGGAGATATTCAATGAAATTACCCCGGAGAACAAGTGAGTGAGAACCGGACAACCACGATCCACCAAGCAATGTTCGAACTGACCTAACGCCGCGTTAACAGAATGCTCTGCTGTCCATCCGGTGCCATCTGAAACCATGTATATATGTTTCGCACCGGTCGCCGCTTCCTCCATCTCTGCAACACAGCCGTCTTCCTCGTCCGACGAATAACTCGGACTAGTAGATGATTCGCCGTCACCAGAACGCCGCACCGGTGGATCAATAACCTCTGAGTTTTGCAGGAGTGGTCGTTGAACTGGTCGATCTAGTTTCAATCCAGATCTGATTGCGCGAGCTCGGGACCATCGGATTAACTGAGAGCTACCTTTATTGAGCTTACGATGGTCAGGTTCCGGTGGACGGTGGCTCGTCTGCTTAGGTTCAGGTGTAGGTCCAGCAATCAGCGGTGAGGATTGTGGGGGGAGACCAGATAAACTCAAGGTTGAGGAAGATATCATTTTGCTTTTCTTATTTCCAATTTCTTTTTGTTGTTTTATTCAATTATAGATCTTAGTAGTCGGTTATAATGAAAATCTTGATATAAATGGTCCCTCTAGTTTCATGTTTTACGTTTTTCTCTAAACCTTTTTTTTTTCTTTTTTTGTATAGATGGCTTTTATAGTTTCAAAATTTTGTATAATGATCTATATTAAATAAATTTTATATTTTATATTTTCTTTTATATTTTATACTAACTAAATGATTTTTATACCTTTTTATTTTCTTTTAATTATTTTTAATATCAAATAAATAAATAAAAACACCCCACACCCACCCCACAATAAAACTCTAATCGATTACCCACTCCCCATTCAAATGTATTCATGTTCGTCGCCATACACATTCTTTGGAAAGAAAAAAAAAACCATTTAATTGGAAAAACTTTTTGGGATTTTGTTGGATATATATAATTTTTGTGGTTGAATTCTAAAAATAGACATAAAATCAACCATTTCTATATATAGACACGCTCTTTGCGGAGGTGGGCTCCATGGGCTACACGAAATTCACTTAAGCTTCGAGGAATCGACTAACCTTAAAAATAAAAATAAAAGTCTGAAGAAGAATTCCGCATATGATAATACCCGAAGAACAGTTACACAGAACTCCCTTTGCGGGCTCTGCGGAATGACAGAAAGAGCGACTGAGTCAAAGTTCATTGCTCAGCGAAATGGGTAGTTGTAGGTTTGCGGGCTCCACAGAATTGGTAGGTGGAATTGGTGACAAACATTTATGACGTTTTTTTGTGGCATATAAAACAATTTTCTTATTTAAAAATATTTGAGTATATGGGAGAAAATTTGTCTTATTTTTCAGAAAAATATAAGTTTCGTTATTTTATGCACCGAGGGGTTTTGGCAGTTAATTAATGGAATTAACATGTACGTTAGAGTAAAGTATAACAGCTTAGGTTTATTACTTCCGCCTATTTTTTGACCGTCAGATATTGTTTGATTTGGTTAAAAATAAGGCACATACGTTCAATAGTAATATATCGTTGTCATTTCAACACCCAGATCGTGAGTATGTCATGAACATTATGATGGGTTTTGAGCATTCTAACACTCATATGGTGTACATGCAACCCTAGAAACCTTGGATCTATGTTTTCTCTAATATACATGCAAATAAGAAATTTCCAAGGTTCTCATCCTAACTAGCATGGCATGGGGTACTTGTAATATAAAAACTAGTAGAATGACATACCTTTCTTGTAGCTTGGATTCCTTAAGATCTTGTGAGCCTAGCACCCCAAATGTGATGCCTCAAATGTTTCACACAACACCACAACTCTTGGAATAACTTGAGAGAAGAACACTTTCACTCAAAATCGGTTAGCCCTCCTTGTCCTTGTCTTAGTAGTCGATTTTGCTCCATATGGGGTTCATTTTATAGTGTGTCACATGTAGGGTTACACCATGTAAAACCCTAATTGACATGGCTTTTCATTTCCTCCATGATCCATGAGTTTTAACCTCCATGGAGCATCCATGGAGCACCCTATGGGTTTTAGCCCAATCCAATGAACCATGGATCATAAGCCCACTATATAAGTATGGATGATTTACACAATCAATCCCCATATATTTAATTAGTCCCTTTTGATCACAAAATTAACTCCAAATTAATTATTGATCAATACTAATTAAATAATATGATTTCATATTAATATATTAGAACTTATAATATATTAACAAACCATAAATGTCTTTTTCTCATTTTGTGTATCCAATTGTCATGATGCCATGCAACCCAAATGGACCATGCCAAATCAGGTCAAGTACATACCATATATAGTTATGGACTTAGACACCTTATCCAACAGTCTCCCACTTGGATAAGTCTAATAACTATAGTTGCAAGTATGGCTTCAGGATCCGACTAGCAATCGTAGCTCTTTCAAAGTCTCGCAGAACTAAGATGACCTGCCATTTAAGATAAGTGATCATATAGTCCTCTGTTCTAAAGATATCAGCCGGACAAATACATGGAACAATGTCGTACTTATTGTC